TTTTTTTTTTTTTTTTTACTTTGTAACAGATTTAGTGTTTTAAAATGGGCAAAATGCGCCAAACCCCCCTGTGTTATACGAAATAGGCGTGTTACTACCCTGTGTTTTAAAAAATGCATGACACTCCATTGTATTTGAATAACTGATGCAGACGCTCCTTTTTTTTATTTGTCCAGTTAACGGTGTTAATTTTTAGCTGAAAATCCCGTTATATCCTTCGAATATTTTATATATATTTATGATAAATTGAATTTATCACGATATTTTGAAAATATCGCGATAAATTGGCTAAAAAACTTTTGCAGGCAATGGGGTTCAAACCCAAGACCTCATGGGAGGAAAGGGAGTAATGCTACCATCCTACCAGTCCAACTTGTGTGTTAGAATTAAGAACCTTAAATATATATAGACGTGTTGTGATCTTGCTATTTTTGTGATTTTATTTTTTTGTATTTTTCTGCAAACAAAGAGGAGGAGGAGGAAGATATTGAAGATGAGAGAGAGAGTAGAGTGATACGAGTGTTTGAAGGGAGAGAGAGAGTTTGGGAGGAGAGAGAGAAGCAAGAGAGAGATAGAAAATTTGTTAATTCATTCCATAATCCAAATCACTTCTCCTACAAGCCTTTTATAACATTCACATGCCACTCCCAAAACCTACCACTTAATTCAAATAATGAACTATTTAATATATAGAGGCCCAAAACTAGACATAATAAAATGAGTCCAACATAAAAGACCCAATACCAAAACATAAATTATCTAGACTATAAAATCGACCCACTCTATAACCGGGTACATGACAATACTCCCTTCTCGAAAGAGTCGCATCCTCGAGACTCATACGTTGAAAATTGAAGCATTGCATCCAAAAGCTTGACATTCCGGGGAGTCGAGAAGAACTGGTATGACTCAAGTTAGAAAGCCTATTAAATTGCCCACAACAAATGGTTAAAGCCCAAGCCAAGTATGATCGGGCCCAGTCCAAGTCCATATCCATCTTGATTCCAATTGAAATGAACCGACCAAAGCTTAAACTCACTAATTTGATAAGCCCATAACCTCCAAAGAAAGACCAAATGCAGTAATAGTTGTTTGTCCCATTTTTGTTACGTTTTTCCTTATTATTTTTCGTTTATTTTTCCCTCATATTAGGTCCTTTTATTGGTTTTAGTTTATTTTATAGTTTATTTCGTGTTTTGATTTATTTTGGTCTTTCTGGTATTTTCTCGGTCGCTTTCTGGTTGTTTGTCGTTTTTAGTGTGCAGGTTGGATGTCTCGAGAGATTAAAATTTTTGGAAATAGTCAACCGAGCAAACATAATAAATAGAAAGGTTCGTCGCCATTGCACCGAGAAAAACGAAACTAAGGAGTCCAGCATGCTTCCCAAATAGCTCTCCCTCCCGTTAAGCCTCTTCTTCACATGCCGCCACTTAATACTCTAGATTTTCGAGCACCACCAAGCCGACGGACAGCAGCTTCTCCTCTACCTTCCACCATGACGATAGCACCTCCTTCTTGCCGCTGCAACCTGCCGAAGCTATTCCCGTCGCGCCGCAAAGTCCACCGCACCGTGAAGGCTCAAGGACCTGTCGACGAAAAGCCTTCTTTACCGAAAGGCTAACGGGAAGGATGGCAAGTCCGAACTTGGGCAGTGAAGCCAATCTGCCGCGTCTCAAGGTTGCCATGAGATGGACAGACGACCAGATTCCAGCCCCGCGCCGCGAGCTCCTCCGTGCCGCGATGCCTGCCATCCATTTCCCCAGCCAGCACGCCGTGAAGGCCGCCGTGCCGCGAGACCACCTCCTGCCGCGCCGCGATGAGAGAGCCGCGCCGTGAAGGTCCCATCCGTCGCGCCGCATTGCTGCCCCGACGTGACAGAGAGCTCCCAGGTTTCCGCCATGCCGCGCCGTGAAGCTTTCCGCGCCGCGAAGGGAGAGTTGTCGCGTCACGCCGTTGCTCCGCACCGTGAAGGACTGTACTTCCGCGCCCGTGAGCTCCTTCCGCGCCGCGACGAGCATGTTATTATAAATACGAGCTCGAGAAACAATCAGACGGGCATTCACGACTGAACATAAAAAAAACCCTATTCTCCCATCTTTTCTCTCGTCTTTCACTTTTCTTTCATCGTTTTTATCGTGATCAAGGATTCGATATTGGATTTTGCTCTTGCCTTTTGGATTAATCTTGTTTTTCGGATTTGGATTTCAATCTCAATTTAATCGCAAGTTATCTTCTTCATCTTATCTATGGATATGCTTGCTTGGGTTAATTCGATTGATGTCTTTGAATTCGATATGAGTAACTAATCCGAATTGCTAGGGAATAGAGGATGATGTTTTGGAATCGATTGTGATTGTGGTGTTCGTCGATTGTTCTTCTTATTCGAGTTGAGCTTTTCTAGGTTTTTCAATTATTTAGCTGAACTTTGAGAATTGTTGAA